CACACTGTGTTCATCAATTTATAAGTCTCAAGACCTGGGCACATGCTAAATTTCAAACTTATCATTTGACGCTGCCATACTGACAGGCCATCAGGCGTTGCACCAATTCTCCTATCCAAGAAACTTTCAGCAGCTACTGGAATTTTTGACCAGCATGGTACCTCATAAAGAAAAGAAATTAGAGGGTTTTAATAGCCATACTGCCAGGAAATGTTGCAGACAGAGGAAGAGAGACAATCACCTCCTGGATGGAAAAGCACGGCTGTACTAATGCTGCACAAAGATGGACTAAGCTCAGAACTCTGGGACAATACTCCCATTAATAATTTATTACATTATTTTGCTACTGTTCTTGGCTCTTTTCAAGCTGCATATAGTTCAATGTAACTCTGTGCAATCTAAGGATTTTTGCCATCCATTCTACGAGTTCTGAAACCTTTCAACAGCCTTTCTTCCAAGAAAGAAATTTTTAAAACTATTAACATTATGTCTTTGCAGGTAATCCTGAAAACCACATATTTTTAAGCAACAGCCACTAAACATTGAGAAAATACTTTCTAAAACTCTTCTTTATTCCCCACCCCTCAAAGAAAATGATATTTAACATCATGCTGTTTCTTCAATCACAACTAATACTTTGCACCCTGATGACCAAACCTGGCAAAAAGAAACAGGTCTGAGAGATATTAAACACCTGCTAAAATCCGTGGGGGGGGCTGGGGTAAGGACAAGCCCAAATGCTACACTGCGCTGACAGAAAGTCAGAAAGGTCTCATCCACTACCCCACAGCAGCTAGCTCCAGCAGTCACATACGCAACTATCATGGGAATAGCACAGAAGATTTCAAAAACCCACAGCAGGGAGCGTCGTGGACCATACAGGAAACACGGGGCTTGTCCAGTGAAAAGGTAGAGGACATAGGACAAAAACCTATATGAAATTACGCTTAAACAGTGTAATTGTAAAACAAGTTCTGCTTTTCATGTGATGATTTATTGCAATGCAACAACTACAAGCCTTTCCATATTGTTTGTGGCCTATTCCTGTTTCCGCCCAAAACAGTTTACATCTCACAAATTCGGGATGATTTCCTTTCAAAAGAAGTTTTCTCCTGTTAGTTTTTGCTGTAGCTTAAACTTCTTACTTGGAGATCTAAAAGTTAGCCTATTGTTCCCCTGTATCTCAACTGCTCATACAAATTATTCATTACACAGTACCATGTACCCTTTATTTTCTTCCTTATCTGCACTGCAATTACCTAGTATATAATGAAGTACCGTAACAGCGGATCGGAGTAAACAATAAGAACAAAAGAACTGAGAACACAATCCAGCTTTCATGAAAATATACTTACGCAAGATATCAAGACCAGTAGACAGTACTGTAATTTCCAAATTCAACATTTTGGAGTTTTCCAAGAAACATCAGCAAGCCTTCAAAAATTACATACCCAGAAAAGGATTTTGGAAGATTTCCACACGTATCATCCTTCACGTGTTTAATAAAGAGACAGAAAGCAGAATGAGACTCTAAAATGCACTGCATTTCTGTCCTGGGAGCTAATAACATGGGGCGGTTCCTCATTTATTGCAAGTCTTCTTGAAAACTTCTGCTTTGTTTCCCTAATAAGAATTTTTAAAACTTGGGAAAATTGGGTATGAGTTATCCAAATAAATCAACATGTTAAGTCTACTAGAAAAGACAACTTATCATTGAATGTAAATCTGACAACCGTTACAAAGTGAGACTCCTGCCTCCCTAATGCAGCTATATGGATAGATTATCACTCCATCTTATAAGCAGCCAGTGTACAGTGCTACACAGAGCGTAAAATGCCACATCATAGTCAAGGCAGGCGATACTGCACAGCTGTGAATCCACCTGGTACGCGGTAACTATACAACTCCACTACAAGATGACACAGAAGAAAGCTCCTCTGTCCAAGTTGTCCTTGTCTTCATCACACCATAGCATATTTCAAACCGACAAGTCTTAGGAAATTAACTTGATTTTAAAAGCACAAATAACACAAAGCAAACTATCTGAATTTATAATACACAGTTCATACACGTCACTGTATGCACTGCTGTAAAAAAAATTCTGAGTATGTTAAATCTGCACCAAATTAATGCAATTAACAAAATCAGCAGAAACATGTAAACAAAATTCACTATAAAGTGGAAGGGAAAGTATCACAAACCCCAAAGTATTTACCCAAAAAAAAGGAGGAGAGTCTGCTCTACCGGCAGTGTAGCACCATCTGGTTGACATGCTTTTGCTAACTACAAAATTTTTCTTAGCCTGGGAAACCCATTATTATTGTAGTGGCAGAAGGAAGAGGAGGAGGTTGAAGAATCTCATTCAGAGGCAGAATCTGAAAATCACTATCCAAAATACTAACCCTCGTTGGCAGCTCTCCACTGCCATCTGCAATGTAAGGGGAAGAGAAACAATGCAGAGAGTTGATAGAACAGAACAGTCCATGCAGGTTTTAATTGGAAATGATCAGCAAGTGGTAAAAGTTTTTATGAATGAGAGACAGGGAATTCAGCGAAACATTCTATCACTGTGAAACTGAAGTGTTACTAATGCCAAGTTAAACACACACCCCCTGAACTATTTTCTTCTGAGCCATATAGGCCACAGACTGCTAAAAGAACAAAAAACCCTCAGTGCTTTATTGGCAAGATGCGTTTGATAATGTGCAACTTCATACCAACACGAACAAATACTTGGGGCAGAGAATCTTACAGTCTTCAAGACTTCTATCTAAATTATGTTTAGACTATCTGAGAAGCCGTCATCATAAATTTGTATACCCAAAACAAAAGATTAAACACCAAGCTCACCATTAACACACAGGGCAGATTCCCAATGTTTATAGAGATTAAAAAAAACCAAACAAAGCAAACAAGCCCACATCTCAGGTCTGAAAAATACCATAAGAAACTCAAAATAGTACAATTTACAAAGGAAAGCATTCATGGAACATGTTAACAGATTCCCAAAGGGGCTGTGTATTTCTGAAAATGGTTTTGAAGTCTTTTGTGCACAAACTGCACTAAGAAGTTCAGCTTACGCACAAGAACTTGAAGATCTCTAATATAATGACAAAAAAATTAGTAACAGATTTAAAGAAGGTTCCTTAAGACATATTGACACAGAGTATTTAGCAAAACCACCAGTATAACACTGCAGTCACTTGCTCTATTATCCAAAGAGTTATTCCATGTACTTTATTTCTTTTGATATAGAACTTAGCCATAATTGACGTCTTCAATGTACGACTGGAAAGCCTTTAAAAGCATAGGTAAAAGTAGACGCAGCACCTATTTTAGAAAAAAGTTAAATGGAAAAAGGGAAAAGGAGAATGTCCGATGGTCAGGATGTTCATCATCAGTACAAGAACAAATACCAATAAAGGAGCTCTCAACTGGGGCCCAAATAGTGTATTTGAACATCTAAAAAGGAAACTTGTTTTGGAAAATTTTTAGGACATCAGCTGCTCCTAACTAGACAAGTGACTGTTACAGCAAAAGGAGCAGAAAGTACTCGAAATTACACTGAAAATGAATAGGACATTTGAACTTTTAAAACAGAAATCAAGAAACACATTGGGTTCTGTATCATGTTAGATTTTTAAATACAGATAAGGAATCTTTTAAAAAGATTAGACTACATTCATCAGAAGTAATCACGCTCAATGAACAATAGTGAGGTAACAGTCTGCATTATGCAACAGGTACAGCTACATGAGCAGAGTGTACCCCTCTTAGGTAAAAATCTCCACCTCTAAACCCTTATGGGAATAGGGTTATACTCCATCCTGTTTCATAAACGCTTGAACTGAAAGATACCATGATGAAACACGATTATGACCTTGAAGTCAATTTTTTAACTTAAAATACCTATTATAAAAATAGCAATACTGAAAGTAAAAAAAAAAAAAAAAAAATTACAGCAGGAAGCATGTAGTGGCCGAGTAGAAAATGGGTAATATTTGTGGTGGAGGTGTTTTTTTTTCCTTACCTCACATGGATGAGATCCACAACATACAGCAAGGAACTAATTTTTTCTATAGTGCACCCGAAACATTGCACTGAGTACCACATACCAAAAATATATTCAAAACACTTTTCAGATATTGAGGAAGTTCAGAGAGAGAGATGAAAAATATCAGAAGATGGAAAAACAGACTAAGAAAAGATGAATTAAGTCAGTATATCTCGACTAGAATGGTATGATATGAAAGTTGCCTATACACCCTTGTAATGGAGAATAAAAAGTAATTATTTAGAGAAGCTTTTTCTCCAGCTATAAAAATATGAATGAGGAGGAAAAAGTTATTAGACAAAAAAGTCTTTCGACAAGCATATTTCTCTGGCTGGAATCATCCCCACAGTAAAACAACAGGCACATCAAGATTCAGATATTTAAAACCATATTAGGCAACTCATACATAAAGGTACTGCAGGTCAAACCTGCTCTTTCATCAAAGTGGATTAGATTACTTAACAGATTTTTCATCTCCAACTTCTAACCCCAAAATAAGCACAGATATTATTTTATCAGGAGCCTAGAAAACAAGCACGTAAACCAAACTCCATTGTATTTCTGGTGAATAAAAGTAAAATGAGAAGCAATTAGAATGATCATGAACTCATTAACTCAAAACAGCCACACAAACAAAAGTAAAGCAAGTCTAAAAAAACCTGTCTGAAATAGCTGATGAGACTTTTCCAGAGGATGGATGAAGCAGTCTGGTTTAAGTCAAAATGAAATGTGGAAATAGTTGCAAACTGTCCACAGACCAGAGTCTCATTCTCAGTAACATCATGAAATTGGTACAAAAATTACCTTCAAGATAAATTAATTCTACATTCATAAACAGCATACCAAGCTCCTGACAGCTATACAGAAAGCTGCAGAGCTTGATGCCAAAGAAATGGATTTACGTTATTTTAAAAAGCACATTGATGAGTAATCTGTTCTTTCTTACCATCGCACTTTATTGCATGTCTGTGTAGCGCCAAGAGGAGAACCTGCCACCATGGGGACTTGGATGGGGCTGTGCTGTTTGTTCATGACAAGATCCAACTTCTCTTCCAATGATTTACAGGTAGCCTCTAGTGCCAGCAACTTTGCCTCAATGCTATCCAACCGCAGGCATATTGTCTGATTAATGGAATACAGGAATGACTAGAAAGGGGAGAACGCAAAAGAAACTGATTTTAAAGACTTACACATTTATCTTCAGCAACATACACATAAGGAAGCTCCAGATAAATGTGACTGGAAAACAATTCTAAAGGAACGAGCAGTGTGCCTAGTGACAAAATTCAGCCACGTACAAAACCGATGACATCCAGGAGCATTTTAGCATTCTCAAATTCTTCCAGATCTTTATTTAGAAGCCAGAAGCATCCGAGCCAAACACACTTTCACCTAAGCACTTTGTTAGTATGATTTCATATACCACAAAATCATTTAAAATGACATGCCAAAGCTTTTCATTCGATACATGTAAAAACAAAAGGATTATAAATCTATGAACGCATCCTCCTGGATAAAGTTAAATAAGTTAAATAAGATTTTTTCCTGCCCAAACAGATAAATTCAGATGATTACAGCGGAAATTATATCAACACAAATAACCTCAGAGACAATTAATGACGTTTAGTTAAGTTTTCTCCCGAACAGCAAATCAAGAAAAGCAAATAAATAAAATCTGTTTTCCTAAGCAATTTTATTCAAAAGAAAGCATATTCTACTTGGCTTCTTGTGAGAAAAATAGGCCATTAAAGGGTAATGTTACACACATTCTCCTTTGCAAACAGCAACTATGCCATCTTGTGGCCCTCCACTACTATCTACACATCTAATCAAGCTGGTTTACAGTGCTACTGCCCCGGTGCTCTTTCAATACAGAGCGTCAGTTTCTATGCCTATTTCAAAAATAAAGAATTACATACTATTTAACCTGTGTCGTAGTAAAATACTACTTATATACTTATGCTCCAAGACAAAAAAAAAAAACCCTAAAGCACGCTCATGGGAACAGCAGGGGAAGTTCTGCAAGTACATAAAAGCCTGAGCTGCTAAGCCTGAACCAAATATGGCTTCACTATTAGGAGAACATTGTTAGCTTAAAATAATAATTCAAAACATGCCGAAAGTATCTACAAATTGTAATACAAACACATGCTCAAGTTTACCGTTTAGGTCAACTTTATTCACTTTTTCAAAAAATGTACCAATCGTTATGTCTGAGTCACTGGAATTAATTCTGATGACATTTTATATTGCATATAACATTCTTGCTACTGATTTTACACTGGAAGATTAGCCAATCATCCAAATTTTAAAATTCATGCACAAAAATGAGCAAACATTTACAAGAAGTCTATGACTAATTCCAGTATTATGTACAAACAGTTTATTTTACAGTCTTTTCTTTTAATGTATTTCCCCAAGAAAAGTAACTTAATTGATATTACAAATAAAAACAGGAAAAGGAATTAGCACAACCTTAATAGAGGGATCCTGGCAGTTAATTTCTATACGCTGACGTTTCAGAGCAGGCTCTACATCATCATCTGTCACTTCATGATTCTCCAACACAACTGTGAAGAAAATTAAGCATTGCGATAATTTATAATGCAAGAGGACAACACTCAAATTAAAAATACATTAAATTGATAAACAAAAAAATATGAAAGGCATTTAATTAACATAATATATGCTGGGTTGGTGGGGTTTTTTTTCCACACTTACTTGGGTTTTCTCTTAACTATATGACAATGGTTTACTGCTTCTCAAAAAGCCTTTATCCAAATCTGAGACTTTGTTTCAAATGCACTGAGGATGTAACACTCATGCATTACCTTGGATTTTTTAATGAGGAACTTACCACGAGGTAGCAGAGTTATCATATTCGCTATTCTGGTTTGACAGATTCTACAGGCTTCTGAACCCTCGTGTTTACACAAAACCATGAAAAGTACTAACAAAGTTCTGTACAAAAGACAGAATTACACCCACTACTCAGTGTAGTAGCAGGTTATTTTTCCTCAATATAAATTAATAAAACCCTGCAAGCTTTCCAGATTAAATAGTTACACATGCAGACCTATAGGTTCTAACAGCCTTTCATCTAAAGGTAAAACATTTTGAAGAAAACAGTAACAAAAAAAAAAAAAAAAAGAACTGAACTTAGAACTGGAAGGCCTGGCTAGTAAAATCAAGAGGTAGAGCCCTGAACAGCCTCACGGTCAGAGCATCACCCAAGATCAGGCCAGGTTCGAGTTCCTTTACCAAATGAGCAAAGGAAGACTTGTTTAAGGTCAACCATACCACAACTGAGTTACCACAACCAAGTTACCAGCTAGGCTAGGACAGGCAAGTCCCAGCTTCTCCTCCAACTCTTTGGGAATATTTCTGAAGTAACTTTTTTGTTCTCCATCAGAAAAAAAAAGCTTTTTGATATGTGTTTCTGTTTTCCTTAAGTGTATAGTTACTGTTCTTTCAGTCTCTTAATTGCATGTAACAGCAGCATAGGATCGATGTCTATAGCTGATCTAAACACATATTCAATCAACAGGTCAAGTTCTAAGCAAGGGATATCACAATATTTGCTTTCAGAAGTGTTTTTCAATTTTACTGTAATTTTGTTATACATACAAAGAATTTTAATGATGTATGACAGAAACTATTTTACAAGCAAAACAACAGCACATAATAGATGGGCAACAGTTCTCATTTGAGGGAAAGCCTAAAACAGCTATGTCGTCTGGAGAAAAAAGATTGCAGGATGCCATATTTCATTCAAAGTTTTTGGCACTAGTCTACCTCTAAAATAAGGCCTTTAAAAGAAAAGTAAAATTAAAAAAATAATCTGATCTAAAGGGTATTGACGATATACAAGTTAAGTTCTTGAAAACTTGGTATGTACTCTTAACAAGCATCTCTCAGAAAAAAAAATATAAAGCAGTGCTGCAGCTTGTTAAGAAAAGGTCAACAGTGATTTCCACCTTGTTAATGGGCAATACTATAAATGATCTTTCTCATTACATCACTACCATCTCTACTGTACCTGGGTTATCTGGAGTCAAGTCTTCAACAGCAATCTGAACAACATCTGCCAAATCCTGTTCTGACATCATACAGAACCAGGCAGCAATATCCAGTCAAACACCACTGCAGGCCCCCAAATAAGTAATTTTACAAGTCATGCAATCCTGAAAAATAGCAGCAAGAAGAGCATTAATATAGATATACTTGATATATCAATACTACACTTATTTTTTCATTCTTCCTCTATAAAAGGAGATGTAGTTCCTAACACAAGTGACCAACCTACAAAGTGATCATTCAGTGCTACCAACTACTACTTTATTCGGTAGCCTCATCAAAGAGCCAAGGACTGAACTACCTGCATCACCTCTCTGAGTAACCTTTCTATATTAGGACTGAGACAAGAGCTCAAGCTTTCCTTCCTGATCCACCTTTCTGCATTTTTCCAATGGATAAAGAGAAGATTTAGCTTCAGAGATTTGGCAGCTCACCAGTATAAAATACAAAATAAAATGTTTTCTTCTAAATCGATTTTTTGTTTTAGCGATTTTAAGACTCTACAAGACCATTCCTAAATTGCAGGGTTTCAATTTGCAAATTATTACATAGCTCTTGGAAGTGATCAGACTTTAGTATTTAGTCTTGATGTCACAAAACCATATGAAGCTCCCAAGCCACATTAGATTTGCAATTACTGCATTCTGTACAGATCTACGTGCACACAAGATCCTTACATATATGAATTTTAACAGGCTTCTAAAATCCTCATAAACATTCAGTGAGGTCAGGGAGCTTCCTTGCACCCAATTACAACTAGACTTGAAGCAAAACTTGACTTTTTTTTTTTCTTGGCTATTGAACTTGCCTAGCTTTTCTACAGCTCAATTCCGACAAAACTATTTTCAGAATATGGTCCTGACTTTAAAGCCAAAATATTTTTCAGCCCTGCTCCCTTGGAATTCTCTGTCAAGGTTATTTATTAGTGCTTTAAGAGAAACCTTCAGCCTGTAAAATTGAATTAAAATCACCGGAACCATTCACATCTGTGCTTTCCCACAGTTTACAAAAGGATGGACAATGAAGACCAAGAGATCAGCCAATTTTTTTCCTTTTTAACCTGAAGCAAAAAAACACTAGAGAGATAATTTGAGGTTTACCAATGGAAATGGTAATTCATCCCTCAACACTGAATCAAATCCAACTACGCATGAAGATTTTCCTCTTTTCCTTTTCCACTTGAGCACAAGAAAGCCATTAAGCCAGACAGGTGGAGTACAAATTTTTGAAGAGAGCAACAGAACCTACAGAAGAATTTTGAGACTGGCCTGAGCAACCGCTGCATGATGAGAAAGCCCATCTCAAAAGGAGGACTCCCCACGTATCAGAATTGTTTACTCAAAATAACAGCACTGCCAATACTGAGTCATTTGAAATTCTGATCACGGTGAAAAGCTGTTGGGACAGCACAGACTGTGGCAGCACGCCCAAAAAACCTGGCAATACATTAGTGCATATGGATGCCATTTTGGCAAATTATATTTGCCATTTCTGAGAAATCCTGCTAACCAGCCAGGCTCAGCATAATAAAACAGCTGTGCTACAGTTACTGTTTCATAATGTCACATACTAGTAGTAATATTAAGAACCTGCCCTCAACTTGAGGGAAGACATCCACCACTCCAAACATTAAAAAAGGATAAACTAGAACAGAATCCCACTTTTAAAACTTTCTCTATTTACGTGATTCAAGGTTTCACTGATACTTCACATGTTGCATTTAAAACAGTTACAGCTACAAATACAACAATATTTTATAAAACATTCCAAAGGATTTGCAATGCATTTGTTTAAACCCACTTTAATACTTCATGTAATGCACATATATATTCCAAAATTCATTATAAAAAAACCACTGAAATTAATTAAACCTTTATTCAACACAAAAAATAATTTCACACCTCTGACACCTGTTCTCCACCTCTTATGGGTCATAGTCTGAAAGTATTCAGCCACACATCAGAAAAGGAGTCCCAAAATATCCTGTCACAGTCTTTAAACAAGGGCATAACAACCAAACTATGATTGGCAGAACAGCTACTACATATACACAGCAATGTGTCTTCATAACATCAGTATTTATTTCCATTGAAACAAATTTTATTACATTTTCAGTAAGTCAGACACAGCTTATAGGCAATTAGCCAACATCATGACGGAACACATTTTTGCCTCTCAACAGGCAGAACAAAATATACTTCTGCTGTCACCAGATGCAGTGAGCTCCTGTATCAAAACATAAGGGGAAAACAAATAAATTTGTTATTAATGCTAGATGTGTGGATCAGGAAAGCAATGCCCAAATAAGCTACGTTGGGTACTGCAACCACAACAGCTATAACAACTTGAATAAAATGGCCCTCTTCCAAATTCAGAATTTCAATTTATAATAGAAAATTCTAGCAATGGTCTAACCTTCCTTTCAGAACCAAGGGTAAAAACCTGATAAAATTTAACAGGATTAGAGTTAGATTAGTTTATCAGCTTTAAAAAGCCTCAGTCAACAAATTCAGAATAACTTTGCCGATATAGTTTCCACATATTTTGCTCAGTGAAGTATTTACCAGCATTTCCTAATGTAAAACATTTCTTCTCCTGAAACTAGCGATACGTTCCCAACCTTTTTTTCTTTCCTTTCTTTCTTCTGGCTGAAACCCTGGTCCCCATTAATTCTAAATTAAGTATATGTACATTGGCATTCAGAAGCCAATGCTGAAATGTTACCTCGAACAATTATTAAGCTGTAAGAAAAAAACATTAACAGAAAGCCAGGAAGACGAGAATAAACTACAACAGGGACATGAAATGTCCCTACTTTTTCTCCCCCAACCAGCAAATAGAAGCTGGATCAACAGAGCAGTATTTTATAGTCAATTTGCCATTACCTGGGGGAGGGATATGGGAAGACAACTTATACCAGACAATGGAAAATATCTCATTAATGCATACACTACAGGAGACCTTTGCCAGCCAAACTCAAACTGACTCCAGCTAAGCTATTTAGGTGGATCTACACTGCACTCATCACTTCTCCTGGAGGGCTTTTTTGGGGGTTGGAAGAGAGCGTTTCAACTCTTACCCAATGCAAAAACTGAAAAACAGGTTACAGTATGTATCAGAGGGATTTCCTCCCACCTCCATTCTCACTTCAGCCCTGGGTGCCTTCAAATATCAGTTACCTCAAATGTTTCTAACCCTTCAGACTTCTTGCATCATGTCGCCAGTTCCCCAATCAGCTCTTTTACTATCCGCCCCTTCCCCACCCTAGGCCAGACACTACTTTGGTAATTCTTACCTAATAAACCCACCAGAAACCCATTCCTGTTGTATAAAGCGGCACAAATTAAAAATTGTTTCACGTTTTTATTTCCATTATTCACTGTGATTAGCACACATAGCAAACATACTGCATTAATCCCTTCTTACCTCCCAAGGGAAAAATATTTTTACAAAATTTGAGAAAACAGTCCTAAGATTCCAAGACAGAACAAGCATCAATATGGAGTAACAGAAGTAAATCTTCCAATAATAAATAGTCTATTTCATATCCTATCAAAACTTAAAAATACTAGTTTCCCTAACTATGTATTATAAGTTATAAGTAAACACAAATACTCCTCCCTATTCTTGGCTTTTTATATTCAGAAACAAAGTCAAAAAGAAGAGCAGAAAGCCTAGGAAGTGGCTCTTGTACTGGAGCCCTCAGAAAAACTAATCAGAGATCACTAAAGGTATAAATTTAAAGCAGGTTAGATAAAGTGCACTAAATATCTCTGCCAATACTCTTACTCAGAATTGATACACTTAACAGAGAATTAAAGTAGCCTTTGTTTAATTAAGTAAATTAATATTTGTAAGAAACTAAATTAAATTCACCTGAATTCCAGATTAGTTTTTCCACGCACAAGTTTAATGCAATTTAATTAATCTATTTTAAAACATTAATTCAAAATAATTATTCTGAGCAGTCCTCTGTAAACAAACCTATTTACTGAAACATCTGATGGCTTTACAAAGTCTCAGGGCATCATTCCAAAGTGTATAATCAAAAATATCCAACACCTTGTTAATATATAAAAACATGCACAAAACATAAATCTTCTCTCTCATATGAATTAATGGGGGTAAACACTATATTAAAAAAAAAAAAAATCCAAAGTTCTAGTCTATATAGAGTGTTTAATTTAATCTCTCTTATTTGAGCAGCTAATCAATCCCCTGGCTAGTATTTCTCAGTGCTATTGATAAATGAAAATATTCTCTCATACTTCAACTTGCCCTATGACAAAAATTTACTTCTGATTGTGTAAAAAAAGCTGGAGGATGCCATTTACTTTTCCCAGCCCCAAAGCCCCAAATGTTTTTCCTCTTCATTTCACTTTTCCTTTAAATCAATTAAGGCCAATTTCAAATGTGTCATTTCTGTTACAAATACATATTCTTCTTTAAACAAGCACTATTAGCCAATCAGCCCATTTTTCTGAGCCTAATATCTACCATGAATGGGACAAACAAAGGTCCTTATCTTGCAAAGAGCTATGATTTGCTGACACTTATAAAAGTTTTCCGAAAGAGCAAACCATCTAGACTACAAAGGCAAGCCTAACAATAAGAATGTATTTTATACATGCATGCCAAGTGTATTAATCCTCTGTGAGGGCAACATTGCGCAGAAGTAAAATGCCCCTATGCTATAAAGGGATTAGACTATAAAGACCATCTTCCCTCTGAAAGTGAAGATCCATAGAGGACATAATACTCATTAACTCTACCGCTTTAGTTAGGTCAGTTCGACTTCCCTGAGTACTTGTCCCTTCAGGGAAACAGCCCAGAAGGACCACTGAGCTTTAAGTCTCTGTGCAAAGAATAATCTGCACCAAGAAAGCCTTTGTGCAGCTCAGTTTAATCCACTCGGGAAGCAAATTATGCAAAACCAGCAAAAAGGCACTCCAAGTACAAAACGATTTCTTTCACATGATAGTTTTAACAAAGAATAACCAGCACGCTCAGGTTACAACCCCGGCTAACCTGGCAAAAAATCTCCTGCATTGGCAAGTCTGTCGAGTCTTCACAGAAACAATCTCCATGAGTAGTCCCATGGAAAGAA